GACACTAGTAATGGCCGCTGAGAAGGTGATGCCAAAAGTGGATTGTCGGAGAAGGCAGGTGACTTGTCCAGGTTGGCTGAGGAAAAAGAAACAGGAGAGGAAACAGAGCAGAAGAGAGATAAGGAGGGTGTAGGTGAGGGCCCGGTTGTTGGCTTTAACAATGGAAGTATCCCTGTGCTTCATAAAAGTCCCAAGTACCCAAGATGTCAAGAAGAAGAAACAAAGAGCAGTGGAGGCTAAACCAATTCCTAATGTTTCTTCAAAAGTGAGAAAGACCACCACTTTCAGGATGCATCCTTTCTTTTCTTTGTTTGGATAATGATCTTCTGAACATTCAAAACAGTCAACCATATCTAGAGGAAAAATCAAGGAATTTGTCATCTATGTGTTCCACATTTTTAAAAATTACTTTCTGAGTGGGTGCCAACTGTTGTTCTTTCTGAGTTCTTTCTAATATTTACAGGTTTGATCAGATTGATATGAAAATGCAGGTTTTCCTTTCTTGTATCATTGGGTTATCATAAAAGAAAGTACAATGTGAAGGGCAATTATTCTTGGAAATGCAGACCATTCTACCATTTTCAATTTATTACAGTATAGGCAATTTGGACTCATCCCATTTTTCCAAAACATGGAGAAGAAAACTGTGATGATGTTTGTAAGACTTTAGTAACAGAAGCAGAAGTACGGACTCTGAGGTGCAATCCAAGATAATTCATTTAAACACTTTTAGGTTTCCTCCTTCCTAATGAGTGAGTAAACTAAGGATAGATCTATCTTCTTATTTGGAAAAATAGAGGGTGGGGGTCAAAGATGCAAAAATAATGACCCAATTTTCCTGTCAAGATAGGAAGAGTATATTAGACTGATCCCTGTATTTTATCCTTGTCTTGATTATATTTCTGTGTTCTATGTGGAAAACATTAGTAGGTTCTACAAACACCTATCCTATGTCCCTTTGATGGTGGAATATCTGATTTATTCACAAGTCTTCCTTTCTCTGCTAAAGCTTCATTTCTTTCGCTGTCTTTCAGATTTTCATGGAAGATAAGGCCCAGAAAATGACAGAACAAGTGGAAAAAATGTCTGCATTCACTCACAGCTAAACTGACCTGAGCTAACTAAAGGTTGTTTGTTAAGCATTTGTGGTGGATACCAACAGAGAGCAAGGCTATCAGGAAGGAGGGAGTTAAGGTTAGGGTTAGGGTGTATTTCAGGAAGGGAAAGGAGACAAAGGAAAACACAGTCTGGAGAAGGAAGATGGGAAATGGAAGAGGTTCAGGATAGCCACTCCCTAGGATCTCCCAGGGTGTATCTGCTAGTTGTAGTAGTATAGATTTAGTCTGGCAAGATTCTGTCTACAAGGTATAAGCAAATAAAGGAAGTTAACTCAACTGGACTATTTCACTGTTGTTCTTGGGCTGGGACCGACATCAATCTTGCCAGGCTCATACTTCCAGGAGGGAGGAAAAAATGAGCATGGCCACAGATCTTCAAGGAGTATTGATAATGCCATAGCATCTAGGAGCACCATTACTGCAACACCAACAGCCAGTGGACACACAGCTCAATCATTTACAAGCAAAACGCCAAACTTACTGCAACTGGACTGCCAGTGCTCTTGTGTTCTCATGGAAGCTTACTAGAGAAATATGGAGGGGATGTTGACCAGTTAAGGACCTCCCTTACACAGGGCAAGATATTCAGGGACAGCAGACTTGTAGAGTTGCCAACAGACTGCATTAAAAGGACCTTTGTGTTAAGTTTGTTGAAGGGGTCAGCAGAGAAATGGGCCATTCTTGTGATAGAAGCCAGTGACGCAATGGTGAACAACTATCAGAATTTCCTCAGGAGATTTAGAGGCCATTTCCAGGTTCCCATGTAGAGGGTCACAGCCAATCAGGGGATTCAGAAACTCAAACAAGGCAACAGGAGAGTAAGATTGTACATTGCAGATTTTAAGCCATCAGCTAGAGATGGAATGAGGTGGTTCTCATTAACCAGTTTAGGGAGGGGTTGAATGATGACCTTCGGGATGAGCTGGTAAGGCAGGAGGCCCCAGCCACCTTGGATGAGCTGTACCAGCATTGCGTGATAATTCACACCCAGCTGGAGGAATTAAAAGAGATTTGGGGTATCAGAAGCAGAAATGGCTATGGGCCTCCCCTCACAGCTCTCTTTCCTCTCTCTACAGTAGCCTCAGATGCAGGGGTGGCGGAGCCAGTGCAAACTGGAGCTGCCAAAACATCAGTCTCTGCAGAGGAGAGACAGAGGCAATGAGATCTGGGTCTCTGTTTTTACTGTGGAGCCCCAGGGCATATCGTAAGAGCATGTCCAGCAAGGAATCAAACAGTAGGGACTATACAATCAGAGCAAACCTCCAGTAAATGCACAGTTTCAACCACAGCTGCAAACCATGGAACCTTTACCTGCCACTCTCAAGAGAGCTTGCAAGAGGGGCTGTCCAGCAGATAAGGAGAGTTCATCCTGAAAAGAACAGGCAAGCCTTTTTTCTTACCCCTGTCGGTTCAGGGGCTGCAACAAACTTTATAGATACTCAGGCAGTACAAAAATGGCAATTACCAGTGGTACACTTAAAAAAACCAGTAGAAGTAGAAACTGTAGACACCTAGCCTTTGAAGGTGGGTCCCGTCATGTGGTGCACTACTCCGTTCCAGTTCTCTATCAACGGACATAGAGAGTTCTTGCTCCTGAACATAACAGCCTCCTTGCAAGCAGCCATAGAATTAGGCACCTCATGGGTGAGACTTCACAACCCTACAATAGTTTGGAACACAGGAACAATCTCCTTCTCCTCCCCAGATTGCCAGCCCCACCGGGTGCAAATGGCCAGGCTCTCCTCAGCTCCCAAAGCAAGCATCCAGGCATGGAGGGAGGGATCTGCCAACCAAGTATGCTGATTTCACATATGTTTTTTGGGGAGGAGGAGGCTACCACACTTCCTCCTCATTAAGACCATGATTGCGTGATTGATTTGAAACCGAGGTCAGAAATCCCTGGCAGGGAGCAATATCCCATCTGCCGAGGAGCTAGCTATTCTGAAGGAATATTTGGATATAAAGCTTAAGAAGGGATTTATTAGACCATCAAAGTCACCAGCCTCTGCTCCCACATTTTTTGTTCCAAAGAAGCCAGACCCACAGATGACTTCAGTGCAGAGGTTGAGCGAGGGAACTCCTATGTGCACCATCCATGTTTACAAGGATAAGGTCACAATCCGAGATCATTATCCACTTCCACTGATATCAGATCTTTTAGATCAGCTACAGAAGGCACACATCTTTACAAAGTTAGACCTCAGGAATGAATACAACCTCATTCAGGTAAAGAAGGGGCCAATGATTTTGGAGCGAGACAAGCTATGGCATTCTACTAGATTCTTAACTTCCAATAGGACATCCAAGAAATTGGACTCTATGTTTATGGGCCCTGTCACTGTCATTTTGACAAGTGAACCCAGTGGCTTCCCGTTTGCAACTACCAGCTTTGATGACAGTCCATCCTGTCTTTCTTTGCTCATTGCTAGTCAAGTGAGCACCCCCAAATGCCTGGAGATCCCAGGATCTGCCAACCCCACCAGTGATAGTCGAAGGGGAAGTGGAATATGAGGTGGAAGCAATCTCGCACTCATTGAAGGAGAGGGAAAGCGATCCAATATTTGATTCATTGGAAGGGGTACCCAGAGACAGAGCATTTGTGGGAGAATGCAAGGGATATACATGTTCCTGTATTGGTTCACCACTTTCATCAGCATTTCCCTAACAAGCCAAGGCCTCATGAGCTCCCCAATACTCCGGATGCTCGCGAACAACCAGAAGAGGTCGTTAGTGAACAGGCAGAAAGTTTGGGAGGGGCCCTGGGCAGGAAAGTGCCAAGACTGAAAATGCTTGGCCTTTGACTTTGGGCATCCATCTCTCAAGGGGGAGGGGGCTGATTTCTCTAATTCTGTAGCTGTCTTGCAGAAAGAGCCACCTGACATGGAGGAGTCATCAGAGAACTCAGACAGAAGCACTACCCTGCACTTTCATCTCTACCACCACTGCCCAGTTCCCCGGAAAAATCTAAGGAGGAGTCTGACCTTGAAGGCGGGGGGTGATGTGGTGGATAGCAACAGACAATAAGGCTATCAGGAAGGAGGAGGTGCATTCCAGGAAGGGAAAGGAGACAAAAGACAATACAGACTGCAGGGGGAGCAAGGGGAACATAAGAGATTCAGGATAGCCACACCCTAGAATCTCCCAGGGTATATCCGCTAGTTGCTATAGTATAGATTTAGCCTGGCAAGATTCTGTCTATATGGGGTAAACAAATAAAGGAATTTAACTCAACTGGACTGCTTCACTGTTGTTGGGCTGGGCCTGACAGTGTTAGACTACCATTTGTAAAAACTGTCATGTTGATTTAAACTTTAACTAGAACTTTAAATTTAACTTGATTCTCCTGATTTCTATGCCATTCTTTAAAAGAGGAGATTAATGGTCCTCAAATCATACCTTAATCTGGGCCAAACGATATCTTCAAGTGGGGTTTTTTTGGTAAGAAAGTATTTTGCCCTTGTCTTTTTCCAGCACACCTTTTCTTTAATTCCCAATCTCTTCTACAAATTTGAACTGGTTGTTCATCTCCCCTTCAAATATTTATTAGGTCAGACCTTGCCTAGCTGGGCTTGTCAGGAGTATGCTGTCATCACAAGTTACGAAGATAACATCATAAGGTAGGAGACAACAATATACAATTATTTTTTAAAAACTGCTTAGTATATCCTGAGTTTACAAAAATTCATGCTATTTTGTTCACTGAGTAAACAGTCTTAGGGAAAGAACACTGAATGCAAATGAGGTTGACATTGTGAAAAATAAATAAGTAGATCATGTGATCATATAAGATCTATGGCTTAATGTATATCTATTTTGTGCCTGGATAGGAAACACTGCCTGCAGGAATCTTATGGGCAAACTTTGATTCCTGAATAACAGATTGAGATTCATAGGTATCAAAATATTCATTCTGAAGAACTAGTACAACTACTAATTACATGCATTCTAAAGTAGTCTATTACAGTTTGCTTAAGGGTATAGAATGAAAAATTGGTGGAATGTCCAACCTACCATTTAGATTTGAAATCTTCCCTTCTGGGCATGGAACACAGTCATAGCAACAGAATTGTTCTCCTTCAGCCCCTTTCTTCCAGGATCCAGGGGAACAGTGGTCATTACACAAAGAAAGTGGAAGAACCTAGTCATGAACATGAAAAGTTTTGCAAAGGGAGATTTTTAAAGCAGTTTCTAATATTTCTTTTTTCTGGGGGAAAAGAATTCTTGACTTTCCAAAGGGCTAATGAATTGTATCTACTTGGATTTATACTATACATTAAAAAGATGTTGAAATTAGAAGGATTTGCAAAAGGGCCCGCTTGAAGAAGGGCAGAGTAAATAAATAAATGCAAATTATGATAATGTTATGGAAACTATGGAGTTGCACGATTTCAAATGGATTTGCAACCAAAATATGAAAAAGTCACTTTTACATTGTAATGCCATTTTGTCAGTTTGGTAAATGCTTGATCATGGACAACATTGATATAGAATATGGACTGTTTTCTTTCAAAAACAGAAATTAGATTGCTAAAGAGACTATCTTCAATTTGGTTTAACAAAGACAAAGCCATCTTCATGGGATCTGAATGGATGAAGAGATAGTCCATTCAATGGCCTATACCTGGTTAAAAGCTGGGTGCCAGACAATCAAATCTTCTTCAATGAATAATTCTTTCCCTTTTGGAGCACTGGGATCTAATTTTCCAATTTTAACCCTCTGAAAGGACCTGTTTGGAAAAGTGATCAAGTTGATGATGTCGAATCCAACTGTTGCTTCCCACTTCTCATTCAGGAACACTTTCTCTCCAGCTGAATTGTTAAAAGAAATGCCTTGGAGAAGTGGATGGAGCTACTTGAAAGAGAATGAAAAAGAGAAGGAGTTGAAAGGAAAATAATGGGGCAGGGACAAGTATATTTAGGTGCTGCTCATTCATTCTTCCCATTCCAATATAAATATCAAATAAGGACACCTAGCAAATTGATCATCTATATTGCATGGAAATGTGCAGGTCTATTCTGTAACAAATGTGATATGATTTCCAGGGAAGATGAGAAGCAATGTGAATTTTGTCAATGAATGAAAGCAAAATGAAAACAGGCTATTGAAATTATTTAATTTCCTTCAATCATGATTTAGGTTCACTATTTAACCCTAAAACTGTACCTAAATCAAAGATAATGGAAATAGCTCCATGAAACATCTTGAGATCCTACATGATTTGAAGGCCTGATAGTACAAAATCAATCTATGTAGTCATGAACCAAATCATTCTAAATAATGTAGTTTACTTGTTTTCAGGATCTGCTACAAATGTCAGAGCTGTGAGTCACAGGATTGTCTGATTCACTTTCCCCCCCCCCCAATAATTTTATTTGTGATTATGTTACAGATGTAAAAGTAATCTAAATACATAGTACAGAAATATATTTTAAAAAAGAAAAAAATAGAAAAAGAAACCTCCCCCTTCATCCCCAGCAAATGTAATCAACATTAACAACTTATCAGTAGATCTTAAAATACAACCAAACAGCTCTTCATTCCATACCCCACCCCAATCTCTATAACCCCATCTCTAAAACCTCATCTCTCCATGTTAATCAGCAAAAATCCAGTAAGGGTTATTAGAAGTAACAACATAAGTTTACAAACAGTGTCTATTACACCCAAATTGAATTCTTCTTTTTATATTTATATCTACATTTCAATTTAAAACAGATTTCCCCCTTCTTTCCTCTTTTCAAATACTCAGAATCCAGTCCCACTCAAAAAAGCATTCAACATTATCAGAAATTACAACCTTGATCAAATAAACCAATTTTGTATTCCTTTTTTTCTCCCAACAATCTTCAAATTCCTCAAAGAAAGTTCTAACACCTGCCTTCTCAGAGTCTCTTCATATATTCTCTCAAAGCTCTTGACTTCTTTGTGAGGCCTCTTTTGTAATTCCAGTGTCACAACTCCAGCAAAACCATTTTGTAAATCCAATGTGTGTGTGTGTGTGTGTGTGTGTGTGTGTATGTATGTATGTAT